AATTCTTTATAATTTAGGTATTCCGCAACAGAGGAGAAAAAACATCAATAAACATATATATGCCTTAATTTGTTTTATTAATTTTATCCAATAAAATGATATGCTTTATCGTCAGTGAATTCTAAATTTAGAAGCTTATTAAAATGGTCCATGTATAGTTATATAGGTTCCACTGTGCATTGCTGCACAGCTGCTGCCTGCGCTCTGCTTCGATGTTCTGTTGGCCTCTGCTGCGTATGCGCGCAGCTGTGGGTCCCCCAACGACGACTCCCCAGCCCGAGTGGCTGCTGTTGATGACGTATTGGCTGTGGAGCGCCCACCCCCCCGCACTGTTCCCCCTAGCACCTACCTTTTGATGAGTCAAAGTTGCGCGCTGAGGCGGCTAAGCAGAATTTTCCGTCTCATGAAAACGAAATCGAAAACGAAAAGTATCTCAGTTTAATTCTTTAGCATCTCTCCGAGCGCTCAGTGCTTCTCAAGCTCTCTAAGTCTGTTGCATATTTTCATATTGTGGTGGATGCAACTCGCAGCTATTAATAAATCGTGCATCGTGTGGCTGCTGCCCGCTTACCTGCTCGATTCATATGTGCATAGATATATGTTTATATAAATCTATTTGTTGCTTTTGTTGTTTCTTATTTTGAGAATTTATTATTGTGTTATGTCTAATTTCCTTTAATTTATTCAAAATTTTCCGTAAATGCACTGCGATAAACGCACTCAAACAAAGAGCGCAATAGAAGTGTAACAAAATTTGAAATTAATAGGGCAGAATTTCGAGTAATTTGAAAAATGCACAAAGTCCAATCTAATATTATTTTTAATGCATTTATAGCTTATAAGCAGAAGAACTCCAGGGATAAAAATTTACTCCCAAGAGATTTCATGTTTAAGAGAATATTTAAAAAAAAAATCTACAAAATTTGTTTATAAAGGTTTTAAATGGGAAGTAGCTGTGATTAGCAATTATCTAAATTGCGAAAAAAAAAAGGTGCATTCCCAATGGATTGTTGGCACTTTGTACCTTAGGACCGTGTCAGCAGCTATTGCAGCCAATATTGGTAACGGGACAGGTTTATGGCATTGCAAGAAGAAGCAGAAAAAAAACAGCTGGCAATTGTGCCCTGTGGCGATAGGCAGCAATAGTGCAAGACAAAGGTATTAGCAACAATTTAATATATATGCGACAGCTACTGCAAACGGTGCCAGTCGTCGCCCTTAAAGTCATGGTGCCTGGAACTGGCGAAGAACAGAACATAAATTGGCCCAGAGACACAGTCCACTTAGTTAACTTGGCTTGGTCGTCTGTTCTGGTGAATGCATCATCGTTGTTTAGCATTAATAATAAAAACTAAGCTAAACTAAACTAAATGAATTGTTCAAATAGGACATCATTATAATCAACAGAAACAGCCGAGATCATAAGCATAAAAATAATTCAAAGCAGCTGCCGTGTCAATCACACTGGGCGCAGGCAAAACAATGCAAGCATTAGATAAATTAGGCATTTAAACAATTTCATTTGATTAAATATGTTTGACTTTGCGTTTCAAGTGCCAAATTAAATGCTCATTCAATGCATATTATATAAGCTGACTAACGCATTTCGTGACAGCCGTTGAAAATTGCATTTAAATATTTGACGGGTTTTAGTGTATGTCAAAGCAAATTATAATAACACGAATTTTCCTTGTTTTTGTTTTCGTTTTGTTGTTTGCTTTTATTTATTTATTATTTTTCTTTTTCTATTTTGGGTTCTGTTAATCATTTTTGCCTAGATTAAACAGTCGTTTCATGGCATAAACAGCTCATGCTGACATTTAGTCAAGATCATTTCATGTGACTCCGTGGCGCAACGGTAGCGCGTCTGACTCCAGATCAGAAGGTTGCGTGTTCAAATCACGTCGGGGTCAGAACATGCGAAAGTGTGTGACTTTCTTTTTTAATAAATTATGTAAAATGTTATTTTTAGTCTGAATGCATATTAATCAGTAAAAGCTAGAGAGAATCAAACAAATATGTGCAAATAATAAATTAAAGTACGCTGAGTGCTATAAGTAAAAAGTGCCTCAACAAACATGAAAATCAAAAATTTAATTTTGTTATCTTAAAAATATACATGACAGTACATATTATTGTTCCCAAAATGTAACTTGTTTTCATTTTTCATAAATTTATACATCAATAATTGTTTTATTTTTCGCTTTATGCGGCAAATGTCATGCTGAATAAGTCGTAAGAGCGCATGCTCTTCACCCGAAAGAGAGAGTGAGCTGTGAGCAAAACAAAAAACAGCTGTTCGCAATCAGCTGTTTAAAGTACACCCGAATAACAGAACGCAAATCAAATAAAAATACGAATCAAATATTAAACAATTTGCAATTATAAATAATCGCAGTGAAATATGTCATAATGTCCAAATTACCCAAAGTAGCGCTTAGCTTGAAGCAGGTAAGCGACAGCCAGCAGCCAAATATGTGTGCCACTCAAGATACAGGTTCTTCTGCACAGTTCATGCTGCGCCAGGAGGTGCTGAAGCTGTACAGGGAAATTTGGCGCACCACACGCCTGGTGCCGGACCAGCACAGCCGGCGCGAGCTGCGAGAGTGGGCGCGTCACGACTTCCAGGCGAATCGCAACCAGGACGACGAGGTGGCCATCAAGATGCTGCTGCAGAGCGGCAGACGCAGTCTAACTGAGCTGCAGACCAGCCTGGAATTAAGCGGAACGAGCGCCAAGAGCGGCGGCAAGTGAGGAAAATGCCTATAAATTTTATTTGAGCTTCACAAACTTGGCTAATGCCACATAAATACATACATAAATAATAAAGCTTAAAACAAAAACCTAGAGTAGAGGATAGAAGAGGATACGCAAGCTCAGAGCAGCGGGCGCAGTAAACTCAGCCAGGCGACCTTCAGCAGAGCCAGGCCAAAGAGCAGCGAGCCAACGCTGGTGATGATCAACGAGATGAGATCCCGTTTCGGATGCTCCTCAACGCGTCCCACCAGAAAGCTGTGTATCACAGTGCTGGTGATGTGTGCACCATCAAAGCCAAAGCAGGGTATGGCATTGATCAGCGCCAGGCCAATGCTAAACACCACATTGTATCGGAGCAGCAGCGACAGGGCATCCGGCCAGGCGGAGCTAATGTGTTTGTAGCGCGGCACAAAGCCCGACACACGCACCGTGCGCACCACATCCCGCACGTGTCCCACATACATGACTGGCGCCAGTGGCTGTCGCTCCCTAGTCTGACGCTTAAAGATCAAAATGCTCGTTGTGTTGGGCAGCATGGGACGCAGACAGTAGCCCTCGGTGCATGTGCCCGCCTTGCAATAGCCGCTCGAATCCTCCAGCGTGCGACGCATGGGCAGACAAACGTGCTGTGGTATCTCTGCAGGCGCATCTACGCTGACATCCTCAATGTACTCGAAACAGCTGACATTGGGATTGCGCTCGTCGCAGCACTGCAGCCGGCCATCGGCATTGTGATGGCCAATATCGATGCTTTCGTCGTTGAGCCGTATAAAATCCGAACTGATGCAGTAGCCTAGGCGCAGCTGCTGCGCCTGCTGCAGGCAGCTCAGCCAGCTATCCTCGCTACTGATGGGACAGTCATTTAGCTGAGTGATCACATTCTCCGGCTTTAGGCCACGCTCGCCGCGTAACGGCGACTTGGCCATCAGCTCGGTTACGATCACATGTTCGTTGCATACATAAAAGGGGGACATGGTCATGTCCAGCGTTGAGATGAGCATATAGCAAACACAGGCGAGCACAAAATTATTCCAAATACCGGCGCAGAGTATGCGCAGCTTGCGAATCCAGCGCAAGCCATTGAGATGATCGTGCGACAGCTCCGTGTAGGCCAGGGGCAGGCAGAAGTAGAGCTACGGCAATTAAAAATCATTTTATTAGGCAGTCTGTCAGGTCTAGCCAGGCTCACCTTGAAACCGAAACCGGTCACGGGCACATCCTCCAGCACAGCAGCTAGCGCATGGCCCAGCTCATGCAGCACCGTGCACATCACCAATGTGGCTATATAATAGCCAATCTCCTGTAGCGGCAGATTAACGCCCGGCAGCAATATCTCCAGCTGCACGGTGGATGTGGCAGCCGCTGCACCACCAGACGTACCCGTCTCGCTGCCATTAAATATGGTTATGATCAGCAATATAATACCAATGGGCAGCAGCAGAAAGGAGAGCAGCACGCCCATGTTGAAGCTTTTGACGAGAAAACTGCGCGTGCAGCTGTTGCCGGCAGTTGCGCCCCAGCGAATGAGCATGCGATTGAAGGCGCTGGCATTTGAGTGCCAATGGAGGGTCATAAAGTTAACGCTCAGGCCGGTATTGCGTAGAAAGGCATCGTATGGATAGTGCATGCAGCTCTATATTTAATGATAGCATTTTAAAAATGTAAAAACCATATTTGATATGCACAAAACACACCTTGAAGAAGCGATCGAAAAAGTACATGACGCCATATAGGGATGTCAGCACAATGAAGAATATTATGGGATCCATTGTGCGCGTATATCGTTTCGTTGACTTTTGTGCAATATTTTATATGTCGCACATTGTTATTGTCTTTTAAATATGTTGTTTATGTTAAAATGTTCTTGCTTAGGAGTTGCCGAACAGCTGTTTGCTGGTGTTGCATCAAAGCTGCCAACTTGCCTCCGACTGCAGCGATGGGCAGCACTTTAACATATGGCCACAATATGTAAGAGGTCGTGCGAGTATATCCATGAAATATGACCTCAGCTGAACGACAATGATTTTCACATATGCCAACTTTGATTGTACTTTTTTCCACAAAACTGTGTTTTTGGTTATTTTGTAGCCATACAGAAAATACCCTGGCTTAAAACAAGTCGTGTTATTTGATTATTAATTTCACTGCGTGACGTCACAGGTCCACAATTTCTGTGCTTGCAACTGAACAACCTTTTTCAACGTATGCAACATTGGTGGCAGTGTTGCCACACTATTCGGTTTTATTTAGTTTTTGTGTGTAGGCAACAAGCATCTTTTCATAATATTTATTTCCTAAAACCGCACATTTTGGAATTTATTATAATTTAAAGAATGCCAAAAGTGCGTCGCAGTCGCAAGCCCCCGCCAGATGGCTGGGAGCTAATTGAACCGACGCTGGAAGAGCTGGAACAGAAAATGCGCGAAGCCGAAACCGAACCGCACGAAGGCAAACGAATTACGGAATCATTGTGGCCCATCTTTAAGATACATCACCAGAAGACGCGCTATATCTACGATCTGTTCTATCGGCGCAAGGCCATCAGTCGGGAGCTGTACGACTATTGCCTGAAGGAGAAGATCGCCGATGGCAATTTGATAGCCAAGTGGAAAAAGTCTGGCTATGAGAATCTTTGCTGCCTGCGTTGCATACAAACGCGCGACACGAATTTTGGCACAAATTGCATCTGTCGCGTGCCCAAATCCAAGCTGGAGGAGGGACGCATTGTGGAGTGCGTGCACTGCGGCTGTCGTGGATGTTCCGGCTAAGACGACAACGTCATCAAATAGCTTGTAAATACAGTTTTAAGTCACAGATGAGGGATGTATATATCGACGAAGAACTGAACGCAACAGCTCCAGAAGAAGATGGAAGCCCAGGCTACAAAAGCTGAAGGCATTAACGGACGCTACAATTTCTGTCTTTTCAAGACTTTTACGACAACACCCGAATCAAATATATAAAAATAAAAGACAACAAACAACACTTGTAAAATAGACTTATGTATTGGTCAATGTGCGCATGTATTAGTAAACTTTTCTCTAAAAAGCGCGGCAAACTATTTACCTCAACTAAAATCATGCCCCACGTCAGCGTCTGTGTGCTGTGTATGTGAGCTAAAAATGGAAAGCGTATTGGTAAGGTCAAAACGAGTACGACTGAAGAAGTTCTACTAATACAAATGAATTATTTGTTTAACTTAGCAACAAGCTTGGCATTTTGAAGTTTTCTACATTTAAACAGTTATTTGAATATTTACCAACCGTTGGTTGCAGCGGGAACGTGGAGCCCATTTGTGTCATCTTTGAGGACATACCATTTGAGAATTGCTTGCTAGTATTGCCCTTAATGTACCTGGAGTGCTGCTGGTAAGCCATTGCCATTGCCATTGCGCTAGCTGTACCATTATGATATATATATATATATAATTTCTATCTAGAAAAGTCGTTGGTTTTCTCTTGTTCATGGTATTGCATGCAATCGTCTTCTCCGTACAGACCCAAAATCAGAGCGGCTCTTGAAATACACATTCGATAGTACCGAAATCACGTGAAATTCTCATCAGTGTTGATAAGCGTTTAAAGTTAACGGTTGTCTATTGCCATAACAGTACTGGAATGTAACTAGTGCTATACATTTCTCAACAAACTTATAATATAATACATACTAAACGTATGGTGCAAAAAGTGAAACGCAAATAACATGCCTACCATCGAGAGACTACGACAGTTAAAGAAAATAAATTCATATTTAACAATAGTCATTGGATGCTTAAATATCATATCAGCTATTACTATTATCATCATTTGCACAGTAGAATTCTTTTTAAAAATGCCCTATTGGTCGGAGGGAACAAGAATCACATTGATAATAACTAGCATTATTTATTCTGGCTCGGCGATTATGCTTATAATTGGCGTCACAAAGGTAAGCCGTTTATCCCTTCAATGATAACAGTAAATACAAATTTTGTGCTTTTACATTTGTAGAAAAATAAATGGTATTTTGTGCCCTGGATGCTTATGATATGCGCGGCCATAGCACTGCATGATACATTATTTAATTATGCCTTTGGGGCAATAACCAGCAAAGTTACCACTCTGATGCTCGGCTTAGGTGAGTATGACTGTAGTTTAGGAATCAACGCCGACACACACACATATATATAGATATATATATATATAAAAATAAAATGGTCTACATTTTAATTAGTTATAAACGTCATGTATGTCATTGTGGTGGTGCTGCTGTTCAAAATGATGAAAATTGAGTAAATAAATTTTTTGTGTCATATAACATTTTTCTAAGCATGTCAAAAAGTACATTAAAATTAAAATATATTTCGGTACTCATTGGGCTTACATCGATGTCAGTCGCCATACTTTGCATATATTTCGAAATAACGGATACCATATTGAACTCAAAGTTTTTATTAAGAATTATATATTTTATATCCTCGACAGCACATTTTGTTGTGTCCTTTCTGCTTGTTATAGGATCTATATGGGTAGGGCAAGTACAATGGATACAATGGTATAATATCGAACGATGGATAAATCAAATACCTTTACAGTCAGTACCTTCTTTTCTGGTAGCCTGGCTATTATGTTTACCGCTGTGTATTTTTAACTATAGCATACTGATATGCAAAACTATAGAAAGTTATTTGGGTGTTATAATCGCAATGATTTTATGTATGTATTTAACAATTGTTTGAACTGTCTAATCGAAACAATGCAACTATTTTAGCCATAGCCATTTGGTATTTTGTTATGCATCTGTTTCTTGCGTTTCAGAGGAACCGTCGTCTAACAAATGACTCAATGCATAATGGGCCAACACTGGGATTCCAGGAGCCCTCGGCGTCCTGAAAAGAGGCGCCAAATTCAACAGGCGGCCAAAAATGCCGAGCAAAACAAAATTGATTGACAACGTATATGCTCTCATTGTCTCTTCAGCTGCGCTTGCTCTCCACCATTGTGCCAGACCCAATCTCAACATCTGTGTTCGGTTCGTGTTGAAGTTGAGTTTGACACTTACTCTTGCTCGACTTCAATGGCCCAGCCTAAGGACATACGGTTTGGCAGTACAACGCAAAACCTTGTGCCAGGCGCAACACAGAACAGCTGAGGCGGCACAAAGAGTATACGATTGAGCAGAAGTTGTGGACAACTCGCAGAAAACTGTGTGCTGAAGTGTACAAAGACGAACGGTTCTAATCACAGCTGCGAACTGAAGTTAATTAAAAATAAGCAATATAAAGTGTGTGGAAAGATTTATAATAGGCACTGTATATTGATTTTAGTGCATTTCATCGGAATGTGCAACTAAATAAATGTTTGTATCGATTTGTAGCAAAAATTGTTGAACACAAAGAGAAACTGCGCTCAGTTCTGAGTGCCTGTGCGTGTGTGTGTGTGTGTGCCTGTGCCTGAGTGCCTGTGTGTGTTTGTGTGTGTGTGTGTGTGTGCAGCAGCGGAAGCGGAAACGGCAACTGGCAAAAAAAGCAGCTGCTGTGCAAAATGACGCCAATGCCATAGAAAAAAAAAAAAGAAACAAATAATATAACAAAAGAGCACATTACAAAGCGACACACAAGTTCCTGCAAAGCCTTAGCAACAATAACAAAAAAAATATATATATATATATATATCTAAAATCAAATTTATATTAACTGTACAAGAATTCAGTGCCAAAGCATAAAGTCAACGCATTACGCATACGCCGTGTGCGCGCTTAATAATATCATTTACAAATTGGGCCAACTTGGTGTGGGCCGTGCAGCCGCTGCTGCTGCCGCTGTGCTCCTTTGTGCTGTTTGTGGGTGGCCCAACCGAGCTAAACCAATGCATTTGGGTGCACAACAACAACGCCCCAAGCAACAACAACAACAACGCGAGCAACAAGAGATACACCAGAGAAGGCGCCTAACATACCGCAAAGGACAACAATGTCATCCCTGCAGCGCGATTGGCATTTACAGGTGAGCCAATCATCAGGCGTGTGTTCCCAGGTGTTTTGTTCAATTCGTAATTTGTGTGCCCGGCTGACAGCTAAGGTCAAGAAACGCGCCTAATTTATTTGCTCCTGTGAGTTTTGGCCCAAGCGCAATCACATTGAGGTAGTTTGAGGTCGCGTTCAATTTGGTGAGCATGCGCACGGCCCCCTACACATCACACACACACACACACACACACACACACACACACACTCAAACAGGGCAAATCAGTTGAATGCGCGTAAACAATAAAGTAGCTAATGCCACAGAGTGGAATGGGCCAACACATGTTTGACCATGCACTTTGCCATCAGGCCACGCATTCGGGCGACCTCAAAGTGTCATCTATCATTGTGTATGATGAAAACCCTTAAACAAAATCATCTCACGCAGAGGCGATGAGTTTGGCTAATTCTAAACATGAGCTTGCGACAGAACTGTTTGGGAATTCTAAGCTGAAGGAGAAGTCGAAGCGAACCTATAAAAAAATTGCCTGAGGGAAATATTAATAGGTATTTTGTAATAAAAATCATCGCTTGTGAATAAGAAAACAACAGAGCTTTTATAAGCCGCTTATAGTTTTATCTAGTCAGCCGATTTAATCGACTTCGAGCAAAATGTCGAATCCCTCCCAGATTTCAATGGGTTAATTTTTTAAGCTGCTTTGGGTAACTAACATATTTGCATATCAGGCAAAAATTTAATGGAAACTCGTGATTATTTTTAATATACTCTTTTAGTGTTAATTTTTATAAGATACATATATATATATATATAATTATAATATCCTAGATAGCTTCAAGTCTTAGAAGAAATATAAACTACTTGAGACATTTTTGTGTAGTTTCCACAACATAGTCCAAAATCCTATCCGACACTTTTTTTAATCTTGTTATAAAGTTTTAATAGATTTCTAGTTAACTTTTAGAGGCTGACCCAAGCTGTCATCAACCCGAACCTTGCCAGAGTGCAGCTAAGCTCTTGCAACAAGTTGAGCCACAGCAAATCTCTATACACGCGCGTGCACTTTCAATGGCATTCGGGAATTGCCACACGCCAATTGCCAGGGCAGCCTGGCTGGGTTGGCCCCACCCACCCAACGAACAGGCACTCGAGCTGTGTTTGCAAACTTTTTTTTCATTTCATTAGATTGCGTCAGAGCCTTGAGTTGTTGTGAAATTGAAAATGTAACACAACATTGGCACTTGGACGGGACTCGTGCACGCGCACGCCCACATACTGCACTAAGCGCTTCCTGGCAATTTAAGCCAAATTCCTGCTGACAGGCGACAGGCGACAGGCCTTGGCACTGTGCACAACAATGGGGCTCAAGCTTTGACATCTGACAAGGTCAAAGGGTGTGGATGCTGCCACACGACGTTGCCGCGTTGCCAAGTGAACAACGTTTGCTGAGGCTCATTAGCGCAGGTCTCCAGTTGGCATTGCAACTGGGCTGCATGTTAGTTTATTACTTGCCATTTGCCAAGGGATCAGTTTACGCTGTCGATATTTGTGGCATGCAACCATTAGCGGCACGTTGCCGTCCCACTGACATGGCCTGTTGGGTGTGGGTGACCGGATGAGTCACCTGATGCGAGACACGCGCCATGCAGGCGACTTCAATTAAAAGCAAAAACCATTTAACGGCTTCATTTGTGCCCGCTCTCGTATACGTAATGCGTAATGCGGCTCAAACGGATTACGTATGCGCCGCGTGGCCACTGATCCTATTTATAAGTCAGCATCTGCATCTGCTTAACTATGCAAATTAATTTTGAGAAAATGCTCCCAAATGCTTTATTAAACATTTCGAATATTAAGTACCAACGTTTTAGTTTGTTGCACAGTTTAATGGATATCTTTTTAAGAAAGTACTCTGTTTGATAAAGTACTTTAATGTACTGTAAGCGCGTTATTTAACTCATGCATACTTTTTAATAAATAAAAATTATACGCATTCCTATTTTCTCCATTTTCCTACGGATTTTAAAAGTTCTAATTGCACCAAAGGCATATTTACCTATCTTAATAAACATTCAAAATATTCATAAATGAAATACAAACAATTCGATGTTGTCAGTAGTCTTACACACGTTGTTCCTATTTTCCACACACATAGAAAAACCTTTTTAAAAGTAAAAACAAAATTTAAAAAAAGAATTCTACCAGTTGACCCCGACGTGATTTGAACACGCAACCTTCTGATCTGGAGTCAGACGCGCTACCGTTGCGCCACGGAGTCACATATTATGATCCGGCGCAAAATGTTTGTTTGAAGCGAATGCATGTCTGGCATTAGAAATCTAATATTATTGATTTATTGGCAAAATGTGTTGCTGCAACAACAACAAAGTATATTTAATCTAAATATATAAACAAATTTTGTGCAACAATCAAACATCATAATTTTCAAAGTCTTATCTTTAGATTTGCGTAGAGCGAAAAATGGAAGCAACAACAATTTACTGTACGCAAAAAGCACAATTATATTGTTAATGTACTCATCTGAGAGCTTTAAAGCTTTTGTACAAATAATAATTGTTTGAGTACATTGAAAACCCGTTTATTTCGTATGCATACACAAAGGTATGCATAAAAGACAGAAAAAACAGATGGTTCTTTAGTCTCTTTAAACGCTTCGCATGAAGATTAGAACCAGAATGAGAAAAAGAAATAAAAATATTAACATTTATGCTAATTTTTGATATTTTTTATATATTCCTACAGCAGGACTTAGCGCTGACTTTTATTAGCCAATAATTCTTACTACTGAAATCTATTTTTAAATATGATTTGAAAATTCATAAATAAATCATTTCATTGGCTTATTTTGCAAAATATGAGTGCATTAGAGTCAAGTCAATCATTGAATATATCATTATATAAATTCTAGATGATTCTAAATTTGTTTATTTAATAAACGGCCTGT